CGTAAATTAAAAACCACGTACCACTGTTAAATTTATAGCGTGTGTGTGTGTGTGGGTCTGTGAGGTGAATAGAAAAAAAGGTATTTCCTATTGTCTGGATATCAAGTGTTTTTATCCTTTTGTTTAAGTGTTTAAGATTCACAAAAAAGGATAATTCATTTGTACAATTTATCTTGCTCAAAAGTGAATCATCCAAGCTAAACGATAACTGAAGGTTTGGATGGAATTTGTGTTCTCAAAAGTAATTTGGAGTTAGATGAAAGCCATCATTAATTCTTTAATATTATCATATAGGAAAAAACTAAATAACAAAGTTAATATTTGTATAACTTCAAGGTCTATCTCTGTCGACAGAGTTTTGCACAAAATTCGCTTAAGCCACAGGTTGCCCAGTGTGCCGACGGCCCACTATCCCGTTTAGTACGAGTTAAGGTTTGGAATTTAATATTAAGTTTCGGCTTTATACGGAACTGATCTCTCGGATCACAGACAGTTTTATTCATTTATGAAAGTTAAACAGAATTACATAGTTTGCGTGCAGTGCCTGTTGTATTTGTCAGTTTGCACTTTAACGTAACAGAGAAAATGACCTGCAACGTACGTATCTCGGCAAAATGACCTACCAGACAACCCTTAACTTCAAGCTCATAACCAGTTTCTGCACGAATAACGTAAAACGTCCTTAATGACATAAATTGCAAGCCAAGTATTTTTTGCTGGGTCTTCATTTTAACTTACAAAGATAAGCAGCTAGATTCATAATCGGAAACAAACTAAAAATTGAGACATACAGTTTTTATTCATCCATCATTTTAACAATGCTACAAACTAATTAACTGTAAGATTGCAGAGACAGCTTAAGGGCACTTTCAATAATGTCGATATGTCAACTTGTACAGTAAGTGTTTTTCAGTTCTAAGATATTGAAAAAGCGTGTCTGAACTATTTTCTAGTCGGAACTATTAAGCTAGGGAGCTGACTAAACACGGAACTTCTAATACATGTGGAAATTAAAACTACTTTATTGCAGCTAGAGGGCAGCATGTAAGAATTTGTTTAAATACTAACGGATTTGAATTAAGAAGGCACTTGAAACTCGGATTTTAAGGTTTTTTCTACACTAGCGGATTTTGGAGAATTGGCAAGAAACGGGAAGCGCGGATCACTTATTTTATTTGTAACTATTTAAAACATTAATGTTGAGCTGACGTTTTTTCTAGCCTTCCAGGCATTTTAATCTTCAGGACTGATCAATTGGAGGACTCCTCGCGGCGGAGAGCTCAAAAGAACAACCGAGTTAGGGAAGTTTTTTAAGGATTTAAGCCCGAAATTTAAGGTACATTTTGTGTGTTTTTATAGTAGAGGAGATTATGTTTTGTAGTTAAATATCGGGTTATTCAAGCAAACATTTTAGACAACGCGCTCAGATAGTCAGACTCGAGCCAGCTCTATTGTTGTAGTAAGCTTTGGTCTAATTTTAGTTGAGTGGAGTTTGGACAGCTGGCGCTGGAATTGTACTGCGAAATTCATAAGAGTACAGAAATATTTGGTTTTTCAAATAAATTTTTCAAAAAATGACTTATCTGCTGATTATTTTTTTAATGTTTATTAATAACACAGTAGTTCAAAGCAGAATCTTAAGACAACATGTACAGCAACGAATAAATTGCTCACGCATTGCTTCAGCGCTAGCGCTGATTTGCAATTTTGACTTTCAACTAGATTTCCCCGGGACAAATTTCGATACGAAGCTAAATTAATTTCTTTTAAAAAATAGTGTTACCAGTTATTATAAAGTGAAATATAGTCATTTTTTTATTTCTACTTCAAGTTTACTGTCTAAAGTGTCACACAATTATCTTATTTTACGACGCACAGTTTTGAGTTTGACATTACAATGCAGTAGATATCTGCGCACTATTATGCAATAATTACATTGTATTCTTTTGTTTACCTCTATGCTATTTGGCACTTATTTTGTTAGTATATATCTTTTTCACGGTTTAAGTAAAATCACTCTACAGTGGAACCTCAATGTAACGAGGCCCCAAGGGACTGGCAAAATTTGTTCGCTGCCTTAAATTTCATGCCACGCGGGGGCCTGACACTACCGGATTTTCCCGGACTTTTTAAAAAGTCTTGTTTCAAAATGGCGGATAGTCAGAGTGAAAACGTGAACGAAAGCACTCTTTTTCAAAGAAATATTGGTCAATTTTCCCTCAGAGAATCTACATAAACTTACATGTGGTAAGGAAAGGATGCAGTATTACTGCAATGCCATGAATCTAAAATTAAAGAGCCGACGCTCAGCAAGTGCAAGCAATTGTTCGACAAAAAAGGTTGCTCGAACCAAAGATGATGATACTATAATACTATAAATTTTCCACAGCAAAGGATCCTCTACCCTACATCTGTAAAGTCAGAAGTTCATTGCAGGCAAGAAGCCAGATGTGATTGAGTACGTACCGATCGTAACTTTTAAGTATGCTGGAGTAGAATTTAAGAGGGCAGTACAGGAGGGCTTACCCGGATTAAATTCCCGTTGCGGAAAAGAGTAATGTCCGTGAAAGGTACTGAGTGTAGTGAACTTTGTGCCTAGTGTTCTTAAATAACATGCAGGGCGAAGAAGGGACGTGTCTATACTCAGTGCACGTTAGCCAAGCTAGCCTTGTCCAACGGTAAACATGCTCTCAGACCCAATGCGCCCTTGTAAGCCATTTACCATTTGACATTTTGTCACTGAATTTATAAATGTCTTGAGTAGTGTCTAAATTACTGAAATTGCATTGTAACTGGAAGGTACACTCGATCAAGGCCCTCACAAAGAAACTATACACAATTTACCCCAGTAAGAAATATTACTTGTGTATTATGACATTGCTCAATGCATGAGGTCTGGCCACAAGAAACTAACTTACATTCAGTTCCTAACAAGAACACGTGAAATTAGTAGATAAGCTTTCATTGTTTCTGTGCACTCGATCTGCATTTGTGACTTAAAATCACTTTTTAGCTGTCTGTAATCTAAACAAATTTAGAATGATGGCAAAAAGTGTTGATTCATCATTTAAAGGGGCTATGTCACCCAACACGCATGCGCGAGCCAATGAAAACAAACTTGAGAAAGACAGCCCAACTTTTTCAAGTTGTGTCGGAGATTTTGGAAGGCTGTTTTTATCTGTCTAAATCTCAGCCATCGTTCGATAGTTAGCGAAGTTTTGTATTAAGAATCATTCTATGGTGATTACAGAACAATTTTTTGGCGTTATTTTAAAATTGTTTGCCTGTGGAATGTTTTTACGTGGATTTACTGTGTCCTCTTATCAGCGGCCGTTTTAATGGCAGAGTTAATGACGGCTACTCCACAATGAGTGATGGAATCTTTGATGGAATCTTCCCTATAGTTCACAGGACCTTTCTATTGAGTTATTTTAGAGGCTGCTGGCTCTTGGATTTTTCTTGTGCTCAAAGTATGTGGACATATAATGAAGCGGCTATCGAGTTGGCGGCGGCCGTTTTTTGTAAACGATTACAAGAGCATCAGGCCATGAGTTTCGTGACGAAACTAAACTCCTGGCGAAGGAAACATTCTAAAATTCGGCTAGATTCCTTCTTGTATTTATCTCGATTCACGGCAAAGATAAACACGACCGTTTGCTCGTCCAGATTGTTCTCAACGGACTTAGAGAGGCACCTTAGTACGAGTTAGATCCTGTAAATGCCATGTTTTTGAACTGTTTGTGTTGGAGCATAACTTTGGAAAATAGCAGAGTTTGCTTTCCCTTTTTATCAACGGACTGCTTATAGTGGAGTAGTATACCAATGATGCTGGGTTCTGTTTTTCTCGACGTCGCAGTGATTCGGCACGATCGAACAATTTTGCGCGATAATGTATGTTTCCCTAAGATCAAAACAAAGACTTGGTCTCTTGTTCTATCAGCATCTAAATTATAAAATCAATAGCGACAGACAAGTCTAATTGTTAATGATTTGAAACAGTCTTGGTCTTTATCTTCGGTCTAGCGTCTTTTGTAGCTCGTTTGTAAAATACAACTTCCATTTATTTTGTTGAATAAGACAATATGTTGTTGTTGAATTTTTGTTTGCGCTCTATTTTATGAATGGCGTGCGTTTTTACTTCAAAACTACAAGTAAAATTGTCGTCGCAATTTTATTCTTGATCTAGCATAACCAGAGAAGAAACGTTCCATAAATTCTATCGAAATATCCCTTATCTAAAGGCTTACTGTAGTTTGCGAAACGAAATGGAGCGAAACGAAATGGAACGAAACGAAATGGAACGAAACGAAATGAAAATCTGTAGTTTGCGAAATGAAAATCTGTAGTTTGCGAAATGGAAATCTGTAGTTTGCGAAATGAAAATCTGTAGTTTGCGAAATGAGAATCTGTAGTTTGCGAAATGAGAATCTGTAGTTTGCGAAATGAAAATCTGTAGTTTGCGAAATGAAAATCTGTAGTTTGCGAAATGAAAATTTACTTTCTCGCTGCGTCTACTCGGATATTCTAAACAGAAAATTCCCCCCCACAAAAAGCCGTTTCGCCTTTCGCGGAATGCGTGACGTTTTCGTTACCACGTATAAAGTTTAAATTAATAAGCTCAAGCGTTTTTGAGTGACGGACAGCAACCGGAAGCAAGACCTCCTCCCTTTTTATATGCCTTGACGCCACCACATTTGTATTGAGAATGCAAAAAGTCCACTTCCGGTGGAAAGTACATACACCGATATTCCATTCTTGAAATGCATATTGAACTATTTATAAGGAGAAAGGTGCAAATGTAAGTTCCACTGAGAAATAAGTTAGCTTCTGAGGCTGATTGCTCCTCGGCCCCTGGTGATCGCCTGACCTGTTAGAAAATGTAACGCAAGGGTCCACTACGTAGCAAATGTATGCAAAGGTCATCGCCCGGCTAATCTCCCGCCAGAATTTAATTTTGACCGGGAAATTTCATAGCACTTGCATGTTGCTCCTGGTAGATCATGTCGGTTTTTCGACGTTTCAAGCTGCCACAGCTGTTGAGAAAACGAACATCTGATGAGAATAGTATTGCTAACATACCTCGCTTTGATTGTAATGCACTGGCAGTGAAAGAGCGGCTTGGACAAGGTTCTTTTGGAGATGTTTACACCGTGGATTACAAAGCTCCAGGAAAGGTTAATGAAACTGTGGTTATTAAGAAAGTGTTGCCGGCTCTGGACCAAGAGGAGAAGAAACTTTTCTACAAAGAGGTAGCTCTTCTCAACGGACTGAATCATCCTAATATAGTGAAAATGAAAGGTGTGTGCCAAAATCCGCTCTCGATTATGCTGGAATATTGTTATTTTGATTTTAAGCCGTTTGGTGAAGATGTGCGTGTCACCTCGCTTTCTGGTTTCTTGCTTCAAATTAATGAATACAAGTGCCAAGGCTTCCATGACCTGGTCAATCATGCAGCCGTCGAAATTATCCAGGGTCTAGCCTATCTCCACTCCAAAGGAATAGCCCATCGAGATGTAAAACCGGCTAACGTTTTAGTAAATAATAGGCACTACAGCGCGTTGTCTGACCAGGGGGAAATTGCTCAGCAGTATGAATCGAGGCCGATTGCATGCAAGCTGACTGACTTTGGAGAAAGTCGCTCCCTATTCACTCAAACGCAAAGCGTTCTTGCGTCAAAAACCTCTAACTTAGATCGTGGAACGGTGGTGTACCTGGCTCCAGAAGTTCTTGTCGAGGAGCTGTGTTTATCTGGTGCATCTATTTCGGATTTAATGCTTGCGGATATTTGGGCGCTGGGGATGGTTTTGTTTTCAATGCTAAACCCCAGCCTAAAATGTCCTTATTTACTTGAGATTCGAGAGGCAGGGGGTGTTAAATCTCAGGAGGAACTCAAAACCTTCATCCGTTCTCTTCTTCGCGTGGGAAAACACCCTACTCCAGATGAAACCTATCAAGTTGAGCGTGGCACCGTGTGGTGTGCTTTAGAGGAGGTTTATAGAGGGTGTGTCCATTTCAACCGGCATGGTAGATTGTCCCTAGACAAGGCAGTGGACATCATGAGAAGAGAGGAAAATGGATACGAGGTAATTCCTTTGAAAGTTAGCCAGTCCACTGCCGTTCAACAGTTCGATCAGAATTTTGCTGCCCGTCTGGAAGAAAGTGGTTGTGAGGAGCCCGTTCAACCGGAATCTGTCCCCAGCAACGATGGCACCAACGCATGCGCTTTTCTAGCGGTTAAGATAGTGGACAGAATCCTGACGGAAATAGGAACCGATGGCGAAGTTTTTGCTGACATAGCTGATGCCGCCGAAGAAACAATATGGCTCTTACCTGAGAAAATAAATGAATATCGCGACATCAGTAAAATGTACGATCCCCTTGAGGCATATGAGCTTCTTCTGGCAAAAAAAATCATGCAGTCTACCTACGACTTCTCGGAAGAATTGCCCTTTTCAGATGGTGTGTTTTCTGTTGAAGGAAGACAAAAGTTACATTCCAAGCTCTGTGAACTTGGACGTGACAACTTTGCTGCTATCTTCACAAGTGCGCCCTGGGTATTGACAGTTGGATGTTTTAACGGCAGACCATTCTTGATCGACACCCATCCTGTTACTGCGAGACCTGGAACCGGTTCCGGTCTGGTGATTGTAGGAAGAGAAAAGTCCCCGGAAGTCTGGATGTCACTCTGCTGCTGGTTGTGGAAACGATTGTTCAACGGAGGTGTTGAGCCTGGCACGGGCCAGTCACTGGCAGTCGTTACACCTCGCACGCAGTAAGTAACATCCTGCTCATATTGTTATGAAAGAAAAAAAATAATCAGATAAACAAGTTAACATTATCATAATTATTAATATTATTGTCATTGTTATTTCTGTTATTACTACTATCAGTACTCTATCGGTGAGCCAGAGAATTTAGATACTTACCAAAATTTACCGGTTTAAAAAAGTTACAAGGGAGTATGGGTATCTCCCGATGATCAGTATCATTGTCACTGTCATCATCATCATTATTATTATTATTATCATTACTATTATTAGCAAGAAATGGCCTAATGTACCAGATCATATTTCTCAGAACAACAGGCTTTTTGCTTTAGGTGACGCTACCGAAGCCACGCGGAAACGATTGTGAGTGACCGTCAAGTTTCAGCGGGAAAATTTGGTGATGGTAAAGAGCGTATATTGTCCTGTCAGCTTTCGTAAGGGTAACGAGGGAATCGAAAATTACTCTCGCTCGCGCTTCTCAAGCAACGACTCCTTTTGTCAGCTTTTGTTTCCGAATCTTATCCCTATTTCTTGAAACGATCATTATTATTTCTTATTTCCTTTTTTACTTGTAGTCAATCCCCTTGCGCAAAAACACATTCACGACCCTTAAAGAGGGTGGCCATGATGGCTTCGGGCTTCGACAACGTTGACGACGCTGTCTTTCCACCCCAAAGACTCAAGTTAGTATCGGCGACTCCACAGGATGCCTCCACCGAAAATCAAGGTAACAGCACTTGGTGATTATTAACCCGCTGGAATACAAGCGAGCGCTATGTTTGTACTCGTTCGATGAAAGTTACTTCAAATGAATATAACATAAACTCAATTTCTCAAACTCTCGTTTTCTCAAAATTCCCCTTTTCTTGCACCAAATATTTTTTCCGTTGGATCTTACTTCTCTGCAATTTTAACCCTCATTTCTCGAACCTACGCACTTCTACAAGCACTTTTTGTTTCCCACGTAGGTTGGAGGAAACGGTATTTTACAGCAATATAAAAATGGAATCATCTTTCTTTCAGGCGTTGAAGTGCTATCAGACGATAGTATCTCCAGTACTGGCAAGAGAAATGATAAAGGTTAGTGGTTCTGTTTATTAAACACTTTCCCTTCTTGCCTTCATTTCGTTCAGTTATAGGAGATGGTGGCTTAACCTACAGACAGAAAGATCGAGATTTTCTACCTTACCTTTCGTCCACTGCCTTCGTCGTTCAAAGCGTTCCTGTTGCCATGGTAGCTTAACAAAAAAAAAAGGAGGGAAGAGGGGAGGGGGGAGTTTCCTTGCTTTCTTCCACTGGTTACTTCTTTTTCTTGCTTGTCAACATATTGTAACAGCCTTTATTTTTTCAAGCCACAGTTTCTGTCGAGGAAAGCCCGGACCACAATCCAAGTGAAACGGAAGAGGTCATTTCAGACTTTGAAGGTACATCCATATCAGAGAAGAACAGAGAGGAGGTATGTATTTTTTACCTAACCCTTCTGCCATCTTATCATCCTCATGGAGTGTAAAAATATCACTTTAACGCGTTTCATTTGTAACCTTTGCCGCGTTTAATAATAACTTCATTACAATTTCGTTTGATCTAGCTTACAAAGTTGTTTCCGGAGAGAACAGTTATTAACTGCTTCGTTATATAAGGCAGCGGGGGCCTAGGTTAATCTGATGAAAACTGTGTAAAGTATCGGTCAACATTCGCGGGTGACACTGCAATGTTGCCCGCTCAAATACTATAGGCGGGAAACAGTTTTATTGTAAGATGCATGTGACCTCGTTCACCCTTTATTTTTCACAGCGCCTGCTACGCAGGCTAGGGAAAATGAGCCCGTAGCCATCCTTAAAGATCGGACTCTGGAGAGCGGTAGATTACGAGCGAGGCCTTCTTTTTTCCTCAGGGATAGTGGAGCGCGCGAAACACCGACGTACGTAAAAGTCATTAGGAGGGAGAAAGGCTTTCTCCTGTTGGGCCGGATTATCATGCCCGCTCTACTACCCCCGAGGAATAATAAGGCACCACTCGAAGTCTAAGGGGACAATGGAAATCGCGCCTACCTCTCTACTTTTCCTCTAAAAAGTATTAGCTGAATCAGAGTGTGTGATATTTTAAAGGTTATTTTTCATCTCCTATTTTTACAGAATAGGCCCGCTGTGGACGGAAGGAATGCTATTACTCGGTCTACAGAAACAAAAATAAACAAAATAATAAATATTGAGTCCTTTAAGCCAAATCTTGTTTTCTTCTTTCCTTTACAGGAAGAAAACCGCTACTCTCGCAAAAAAAAACATGCTGAAGACAGCGATTCCGATGACCAGCAACTATACATAAGTCCATTTGAAGATAACAGTAAGTTGTTTCTTTTAACGTTACTGTAACCAGCGTCGTTGGGATAAAATGTTATTTGAACAAGCGCGTACGACGGTCGTGCATGTGGCTGGAAGATCTATGGATCGTTTCACCTCAGGCCACTGCGCTCCTAGGTTTTTCTTAGCCAAACTTATACCGTACTTCGAGCATTTTCCGTTCTTACAACGAATCCGCCTACTCGACAGTTTTGTATATCCCCTTTCAACATCAGGAAAGGGAAAAACCCTTGTGACTCTATGTTTTATGTCGTTTAAAATAGTTCCGATATAACTAAATAGCAAATTAAAATCTTCATCCATCTCAGTAGCGAATAAATGTCTTGGACCACATAAACTACCTATGTAATTTTACTTTTATTTATGAATGTCGGTATATATGTTATTTATATAAATGGGATTTATATGTACATAAAATTATAGGTTTTCCTTGGGAAAGAGGGGGAATTCGAGTTTCACAGTTGCTCAAGGAGGGGGAAAGAGGTCGCATAGATATTGAAAGGGAAGCAATACAAAACGCCCATGCACCAACCCCCTTCCCTCAAACCAACAACTATGAACACTCCCGAAGGTAACAGCGCAACTATTTTCTCACGCAAAACCCGAAACAGAGCAATTGTTCACGGTCCAAGAAGCCTTTAAAACTTTTGTAAAGTATTTGTATTTTCTCTGGGGAGCGGAAGGAGCTTTTGTTGAGAGTAGAAGAGTGCAAACGCCAAAAACTACGTTATTTCAGGTTTCGCGGGACCGAGAACGTAAAGTTTGAATCAGCTGAAATTTTAAGAAACGAGGATTAACATCTAATCTAATGTTATTTTCAGGTGCCATAAATGGCTTTCCCGTTTACAGAAGATCAAAAGCTGGAATCACGGCAAAAGAAATCTTACAATTGTGCATTGACGGTGACCTTCCAGACAAAAACGTGTGCAAAAGAGTTCCTGTCGGTGTAACAGAAAGTGCGACTTTTATCGTGGATCTGGAGGCAGTTCATTACAAAGACTTGACAGTGGATGACAACGGATTCTACGGAGCTCATTCCAGTCCAACTGAGCACTTTCAGGTTTTTATTGATGGTCGAGGAAAAGTCAGTGCCATGTGCAGAATTTCCAAGCCTGACCCAGAAAGCGAGAGTGCGGTCTTTACCGCCTATGACCACTTTGTTATCAGAAGACAGTACAGTTGGCCAAGAAGTGACAAGAACTTTCGTCGTATGATAGCGAAGGTTGAATACGGAGGGAAATTTTTGCGGTTTGCTATCGTACAGTATACTGTCAATATGACCCCTGATGAAGCAAAGCTGCTTTTCAGTCAGACAAAACGCCATTCGGGAACCCAGGTGAGAACTAAACCAAGTGTTCTTGAGAGAGTGAGACAATTGGGCGATACGTTTAGCGCTAAGAAGATTATCAATCACATTCAAAAGGAAGCAGGGGGCGTAGTGTCGATATCGTCTCCATCCGACTTTCCAAGAGATAGACAACAAGTTTACAATCAACTTCGACAAGTTGAGGGCAGGAAAAAATCTCGAAGCACTGACCCAGCTAAGTCACCGGACATTACCAAGTTGTTGTCTCTCCAGCAAGCCGGAAGATTTATCCGTGATGTGAGTATGGGTGCAAGATCAGATAATAAAGGCGAGATTCGAGCAGCAGTGAGCACGTTTGCAGCCACCAATTACAGTATCGGTTGGATAAAAAGATTTTGTCACCCGCGTTCAAGTCCAGCTTCAGTGGCTGGAGTGGATATGACGTACAAATTAGGGCCCTTCTACCTCACAACAGTAACTTTCCCTAATCCAATGTTCGTGTACAAAAACAACGAAAGTAAACATCCTACAACCCTGGCAGCGGTAATGACCTCAGTGTCCAAGGAAACACGCGACTATGAGTATCTCGCAAGGTCATTAAAGTCGGAAGGATAGAGTCATTGACGTACGGAACGGATGGAGAGTGTGCGCTAGAGAGAGGCTTTGAGAGCGTCTACCCCATTGAAGGTCCTGCTTGCACAAACATTCATTTACGCTGCTTCGACCACGCCAAAGGTGACATTATTATGAAACTGAAAGATCTAAATGTGTCCGAAAGTGAAAGAAAGAAAATTCAACAAGAAATACTGGGAAGCGAGTTCGGGGGAAAGCGACTGAAAGGTCTGGTCGATTGCGAGAGTGAAACAGAATTTGAAGAACTGTACGTGAACAAAGAGGCTCATTGGCCTGAACAGTTTAAAGAATGGATGGTAACCAACAAAGGGAGGCACAGATCCATGAAGGCGACTTTAAAGTTTTGTATGTTGAAACCAATAAGAATTGCAGCCGGCCTTGGTAACCCCCTAACAAGTGGGATAATCAAAGGACAGAATCGCTCAACAACGTCATCAAAGAAGCTGCGGAGAATCAGGTAACTGATCAGGCTACCATTCACGAAATTCTAGAAGCCGAAGTAATACAACAACAAGAGCAGGAATACATCAAAGCTATTTACGGCATGGGGGAATACAGGCTGGCCCCAGAATTTCAAGCCTATTCCGTTACCCCTTTAGCTTGGTCTCAGAAGACACCCGAGCAGCAACGGCAACACGTACAGAAAGTCCTTAAGGTCCCGTTGTGTTCATCTTCCAATCAAATCCAACCTACGACGAGACTGTCCATTTCAGTCGAAGAATGTGGGGTGAGCAGCGTAGCCGCGGGATTTTTGAATCAAATTTGGCACGAATCAGAAATAATTCTGTCTCATCACAAAGTAATCGATCTGGGTGGAGGTTCGTATTGTGTGACCGAGTTTGGAAACAGTGTGAATGTCACGATCAAAAGTGGTAGCCCCACATGTAGATGCCGTAATTCCCAAAGCACAGCAGGTCTTTGTTCTCACATTCTTGCCGTGGCTGATACGATAGGAACACTTCCTGCGTTCTTAGATGGTTTCAACAAGAAAAAAGGTAAATCACGCAACATACTCGGTGCTAACATTCCAAAAAGGGCAGGCGAAAAGGCCAAGGAGAAGAAAAAACGAAAGGGACAGAATAATGTGGAACTCACTCCAATCATAGAGGAAGTAACAAGACCAGACAGTGAAATAGATTTCCAGAAGCCTCTTGCGTTCACAGAAATATGGCACAACAACAACAACTTTTACGTTGTCTTCACCAAAGAATGCAGTAAGGCTAAAAAGTGCGAGTCGTGTAAAGTGGAATCTGCTAGAGGTGGTGTAGTGTGCATTCCACAGGACATTGCAATACTTCATAAAGAACGATACTATTACCCAAAGGAAGACGGCAAGGGAAGAGTGACTATGGAACCCACGTGGAGTCGGGAGGCATCCAGATTTTATTGCATAAAAAAGGATTGCATTTTAAGAAGGCATCCATACTTTTGGAAGGAAATGGTTGAGATTGACGATGACGTACGACTGAACTTGAAAGAGGGTCATTTGAAACTTTTAAGGGAGGCCTTACACTTGTCCGTTTGATTTGTCCGTCTTATGTAGTTTTCACCTATTGGTCAATGGCTTTACCAAAGTGACGGCGGCTATTTTTTAACTTCAAGGTAAAAAGGAAGTATAAGCGCTAAATCGGCACATAGAAGGCGTTATCACCTTTAAATTTTCTAACTACAATTACTTTTTAAGAAGTTGATTGTGTGACGGGTCACGTAAGACTTTTTTGTTTCGCAAATTGATAATACTGGAGGAATTGGCCACGGGAAAAGGGAGAAATCAAGGACAACGTCTCTAGGATGCGTAGAAAGCCTTCCGTTCCCTCAGGCTTAGAATATACGGTCTGCTTTTCTTCACGTTGCTGTGTTTGTGCACCAAAAAAAATCTAATTTTAAACCTCCAGGACAACATGTCCAGGATGATATTTGAAAACACGGATGGTTACAGGTCTTAAATCCCCAACTAAATTAGCCTCCATTTCGCCGATTTCCTGTTCAAACTTGAGAAAAATTATGTCTTTTGGCAAAAAAAAAAAAAATGACAGCTAGGTTAACATTCTGGGACTAAATCATCTTGTTCTTCCGGGCAATCCAGGCTTTTGTGCTAGGAGCAAGAAAACCACAATGTCTCTTTTAACACCTCATATATTCGAAATGTTGGGCACTGAAATTGGCCTAAAACAGGAAAAATATTTGTTACAGATTTTACAGTAATAAGTTTCATTCTGCAACAGATTGCTCTTTTTCATTGAATGATTACAATGATAATAGACATGGTTTAGTTGAGCCGAAGTAAAACATAGAGCTTCGTATATAACATTATAGAGGTATAATATATGTATTGTTGGATGTTATGTTACAAACAGTTCCAGTTTCAATCTCGTTAACCATTGGGCATGTAGGGCATATCAAATATAGTTAAATGCTTTTACACAAACTGCCACATTCTGCAATTGTACGACGATGATTGTGGTTTCGTGTGCGTTGCCCACGATCTTTGTTATGGTACAGATGATGCGCATTATTAGATGTGAAATATATTTCAGATAAGTTCCAGTTATAATCTCATTAGCCACTGATCTAATCTAGTTTGCAAGGCTGACGCTGGATTGGGATAGACCTAAGCTTTTCTGAAGGGGTAGGGGGTTACTGGCAATTGTTTTAAGCGCAGTATTTGTAGTACTAGTATTTTTCTTTTGCGAAAACTAAGCAGAAATTCTGTTTGCAACCAGGGGTGTAGCCAGCACATATAACTGTAGGGCCGGGCCTACAAAGTTTTGGATTGATGCATTGTTGGGGTGAGATGAAAAGCTTAAGAGCTCAAAGTGTTGGTGAGGTCAAGCCGTACAATTTCCAGGATATGTGGAAATGAAAATTAGCCAGGCCTACAACAAGTCGAAAAGCTGACTACTCCCCTGGCAACCCTACTCGATCCCCTCAAAAAGCAAACTGGACTATCCCTCATCATTAGCTAATTGATGGGGTAAAGGTTTCTTTGTCTTCCATTCTGCGAATGATTAAGTTTAAGAAAAGTTGTTCTGAGTAATTTTTGAAATTGTTTAAATCATTTAGTAGCGGTAGTCTATTTTCATTATCGATTATTGTTAGATTTTAGAACCGTTTATGTTGAAATTAAATTACCTATCCTTCTCTATTATTGAATCACTTATTTCTTTATAAGAGGTGATAAAAAGTTTCTGTTTTTCCGTCCAATGCAGGCCATTTTAGGACCGATGCAGCAAACTCAATGACTTTCCTCCAAAGGGAATTCCTGTCGTCAAATGACACTTAAACAACAAAAACTTCTGCTGGAAATACTTTACTTCCCTGCATTTGTTTATCTATACAAAACGTTAAAACCACCATGTTCGAAAGTAAACAACAAAGCCATAATGATGTATTTTATCGGTTCGTTTGAATATCGCGTGAAGTTTCTGGTTAAGACAAGGCGTTTCAACGGCCACCGCAAGTGGCCTTTTTGCATTCCTGGGCAGTGGTTCTTGGGCAAATTTTCAGGCAGATCGTCTCTATAAGAGTAATGGCACTTATCAATACAAACGTGGTGGCGCCAAGGCATATAAAAAGGGAAGAGGTCTTGCTTCCGGTTGCTGACGCCTGAGCTTAAGTTAAACTTTATACGTGGCAACGAAAACGTCATACATTCCGCGCAATCTGAAATTTCTGGGTGAAACAGCTTTTTTTTGGGGGGGGGGGCAATTTTCTGTTTAGAATATCCGAGTAGACGCAGCGAGAAAGTAAATTGTCATTTCCTAAACTACAGATTGTCATTTCGCAAACTACAGATTGTCATTTCGCAAACTGCAGATTTTCATTTCACAAACTACAGATTTTCATTTCGCAAATTACAGATTTTCATTTCGCAAACTACAGATTTTCATTTCGCAAACTACAGATTTTCATTTCGCAAACTACAGATTTTCATTTCGTTTCGTTCCATTTCGTTTCGTTCCATTTCGTTTCGCTCCATTTCGTTTCGCAAACTACAGTAAGCCTTATCTAAACCCATTTCGCTAAACCTCTCTAAATTCGGAACCTTGGACGTGACAGAGAACATGAAGAAAGTCACGCGTTAAAAACAATAGAATTTTGACAGTTGAAAGTAATTTGCATAACCTCACAGCGCACATGGAGAAAGTCACGCGTTAAAAACAATAGAATTTTGACAGTTGAAAGTAATTTGCATAACCTCAGAGCGCATGCTCTCCAGCTGACATAGCCCCTTTAATTGTACAAATAATAATGACCCAATGAAAAATGAAGGGATACAAAGATTACCTCTTTCCATTCTTATTCAAGATCTTATTTTTAGAAGGAAAAAGTGAAAGGGTGATTTTAATTAAAATATACTAACAACACGGAGTGAAATGAAATGATTTTTCTTGGGATATAATTTGGTTTGGATAGCTTTAATTTTCACTGGTTTTTCCCCTTATTTTATGATTAGTAGCAATGAAGGGGTCTCTTAATTCCTCCATGTACTCCTGTCTGTTATCTTACTGCTACCCGGGCGCTGTTATAAAAAAGTGTATGAAAATAAGGCTACTCAATCACCCTGCAGAAATGATGTTTCCTCTACCTCACCTGTTTCATATCTGCTCTTGCTCTGATCTTCACAATTTCAGAAGCACTTGAGCTTTATAATTTTCACCTTACTTGTGATGGCTTTTGCGGGTTTGCAAAGGATGCTTTCACATACCAATTCTACAGCCTCTGCCATCGGGACAGGATATAAATGAACCAAAAGCGCTACTGCGTAACAACCCAATCTGTTCCTCCCGACTGGATACTTGTAGCTACAATTAGTACGCCTTATTTACAAATAATCAATTGCAAGGTTACCGGACGAGAAATGACTCTCAAGTAAGACTGGAGTATCCTTGCTTTTATCCGGTCTAATCTTTAGGATTTCTACTAAGACTGTACGCAGCGACGGGGAGAAAACATAAATTAAATGTAAGCCTTGCTAACCCAAATTATATACGATTTTGCCCTTTCACTCAATGTCACTCTGGAGTGAACCACTTTTTGGTAGTCTTTATTTTACGGTTTGTAAAAAACAGGCACACCCACTCCCTTATCATTCCCCAATATTCGGTCGAATCCAGCGCCATGAAAAAAGCTAAACTCAACGGTTCTTTGTACATTTTTTTTTACTTCCAAGTAACGAAAGTCTCCGCATCAAGCAAGGTGAAAAACGAAAACGGTGCTATCCGAAATCGGATTTCCGACTTTGATAAGCGACGCATTTTTCGACCAAAAACCCAATAAACCTCAAGTCGCTTTTCTGTTTGCGGTTTTGTCATTTATGCAAACAAACAAACTAGCCATGAATAACAGAAGACTCTTGATGGCAGCTGTATTTCATTTTGCACATCCAGTATTAAAAACATCACAAGTTGACACAAAACTCTGTCAGCTTCAGCTGTCAAATTAAACCAGTTAATTTCAAGATGCTGCATAAATTTTCCGCATGAACTCAGCTGTCAAATTTTGACCAATCAGAGCATAAAAATTGGACGTAGAGCGTGACCAAAGCGTGACCATGGTAAGAGAAAGGTTTTCCCTGCCTGTATTTTTAAATAACTGGCTGAATTTTCGCGTCCGAGGTAAATTTGAAATCAAAATCTTAAGAACGAATGTCGCTAAGGATTGAGCAAAGTTGGAAATGGTCAAACAAAACCTTCCCTCATACTTTGTGTGTAGTTAGTACTTCAGATGAAACTACTCACTGTGGCATTTGTTTGACTTCCAACAAAAACCTGCACTGGGCATCAGGGGGGGAAGTTTGGGCCAAAAATTGCATTTTTTAGGACAATTTCTCCTTGAAAATTGGAGTTTTGTTAGGTAATATTTCAGAAAGCAGACTAACAGTTAAAAATCTGTTTACATGATAGCAAAATATCATCCTTCCTCTCAATAAAAATGTTATCAATTTTTCCCTAGGCCCCCCCCCTGATGATCTCTGTTTATTGTCATTTACAAGGGGGGGAAACGTTTTTATACAAGGCTTAAAAATAGACATTTTTAAACCCCTTTTTTTTCTTACTAGCACTGCGATTTAGATCAAAATTGAAACAGAATGTAAATATTTCACCCTTTGTGAACCATTTCATGCTTAAAAATCCGCGGGCACTCGATACATTTTTGCTTGCCAATCAAATGAGCATGTATACCTGAGACAAAATAGTAAATTTTCGCAACTTTTGTTCGCTGCTATCTTTCTTTTAAATCATGTCTTTGGGGCGATGTTAAGCAAGAACGTTGGATGGTTCACGTTTTACAGTTAGTTATCGAGCAGATTAACGATTTTTGGTTCACAAAAACAGGCATCGTGTGGTTGGCGGTTAATTTATGCAAATTACTACCTGCGATATAACTTGGAAGGAAAATCTAATTCGACGTTTTCCAGCAAAATAAATCGC